TTGCAAACTCGTCTTACACCCACAACGTTTTTAGCACACGCACAAATTATACATAAAAATGCAGACATTTTTTTTGTCTTCTTGGGGTGGCTGAGTGGTTAAAGCAATCATCCTCCAGTGCAAGAGCTGGGGGTACGATTCCACCAGCAGTCACATGCCGAAAGTATCCCTGGGCAAGGCACTGAACCTTCATTGCCTCTGATGTGTGTCCCATCGGTGTATGAATGTGATAAAGCACTGATTAGTCTTTGTACAGAAATAGTAGAGTGCTGTATGAATGAGTAAATGAGGGCACAGATTGTAGTGTAAAGTGCTTTGAGTATTTTTATAAGATAGAAAGGTGCTACAGTATATACGTACAGAGCATTTACCATTTTCCCAAACATGTCTCGCGCCAAGAACGTACCATTTTTCCTCAAAACCCCTCAGAGTGATGAGAGCGCATGCTCATGCTTCCTACATTTTGGCTATATTTAACCCAAATTCCTTTCTTCAAACCTTTGAGTGAAGGGGTTTTAAATGGTAAATTGACTGTAATTACTGTATATAGCGCCTTCTTATCTATTCAAGATACTCAGAGCTCTTTACAACACAACCCGTTCATACAGCACTCTACTAGATCTGTACAAAGCTAATCTGAATCTATAGAGACTAATCAGTGCTTTATCACATTCATACACCGATGAGACACACATGGAGGCAATGAGGGGTTCAGTGTCTTGCCCAGGGAAACTTGGGCATGTGACTACTGGTGGAATTGAACCCCCAACTCTCCCATTGGAGGACGACTGCTCTAACCACTCAGCCACAGCTGCCCTCTGTCAGGTCATGTATACAGTATATATAAAACATTGTACCATCAAAATTCAATCCATCAGAGCCTTCCACTGCATATAGTTCAAGAACTTTTTGATACGACCTGTAGTTTTAATGCAGCAGCTGTTTGTTTGACATCTATCAGGGAGTGACAGACATAGGTGTGTGGTTACCATGGTGACCACAGTGAGCCACTAGCAACAGCTTTACCGTTTCTTTTAATCTGGACATGTCTCAGACAGTTTGTTTGTCAACATGTCCAGGCAAGCTTATATTGTTACAAAGTTGGCGTTGGACTTTAAGTCGGTAGCTACGTCGGGACTTTTCTAAATGTCTTCAGAAATCTTCTAATTTTAAATCTTATACCCACCTTTGAGTAAAATCACTTGCAAAGATCAGCGGCGAGTCCTCGCAGCAGAAGAGAGTGTAACAAGCCTTTCCTCTGGTCAGTGAGTTCACCGAGGTGGACGTCTTCGAAGGCGAGGATGTGAAGGGGTCGAGGGAGGTGAAGGGGTTTCGATGGTATTGCAATCAAAGAAAAAAAGAAGAGGGGTTGAGAGAAAGAAAACTTGGCCCAGAAGCAGTTCAAAGAACCAGGCATTAATGCAGGAGAGCAATGGAAGGTCAGCCACCCCCCCACCACAACCCTTCTTCTATTGACAAATATAATGCACATGTCTATCATCAGTACTGTTTGACCGCAGTGACGGTGATGAGAGAGAAATCTATCACAAGGCATTTAAACGCTCAATTCTTGGCTTTTATATGTCGGTACACCAGAGAAAGCTAAGATTGTTTCACATTTAAGATCTGCATAACAGCCCCGTCACATCCCTGATCGGAAGCTAGCAAGGTCAATGTGGATCAGCTTTGTCCTGATCGAAGGAGCGTCATCATATTCCATGTTGTACCAGCAGCTCCTGACAATGATGCAATCCACCTGGGGAGGTAAACAGAGACTCTGCTCGATGCTCATCATGTCTCTGAGCCTTAGCCGTTAGACGGTCAGTCTGGACTTTCACGGAAATACAAAGATCATCAATGAATACGGCTTGAATACAAAGCTGAAGGTGTCGTGTTAAGCGCCAACTGTCTGTAAAACGATGTTTGTGATGGTATCATTGAAAATAGGAAAGGGTGCTCTGTCAAATAGTCGTAAGTAGTTTGGAACTTATCAGCCATGATGTCGCTCATAGAGTGTGGAGAAAGAGGCAAAAATCTTAATCCAGGCTAAGCTAATGGTTAATCAAACAAAGGACCTTTTTGTTGTTTCTGTTTGTTTTTTTGGGGGGAGGGGCTTATAAAACATAATACTAACATCCTCAGCACGGTCGGCATTATCACAATCTACTTATCGGACAGTGATCTGTTGCAAAAACAGCAACAAGCCAGACAAAAGGTGTCATGCCAAAGTGTAGAGGTTTAATATTAGCTAATTTAGCATTCTTTCACACTGGTTCTATGTAATTTATGAGAGAGTTGTTTTACAAGTCTAAAAAGCTAAAAACCAGGCACTCATTCAGGAAGAGAGCCACCTGCATCATGAAGGACCCCACTCACTCAGCACACACTTTTTGCCCCGCTCCCCTCAGGAAGGAGGTTGAGGAGCATTAAGTGTAGAACCGCTAGACTGAGGAACAGCTTCTACCCTGAGGCTGTTAGACTCATAAATATCTAACCAGGATAATCACTGTGAAAAATCACATCATGTTGCTGCTGATCTGTTTCATGTTGCTGCTGATCTGTTTCATGATGCTGTGTTCATTCATGCTCATCTGCTCACACAGACTCATGTTCATGCTGCTGTTCGGCATAATGTTTTTATGCTACTTGTGCTTAGTGCATTTTTAGTTAACATTTTTCTGAGTTCATAACTTAGATCTTTTTACTGTTTTTCTTTACATTTTAATAGTTTTGTTGGATGTAACTGGGACCCTGTGTACACAATTTTGTTCCACCACATGTACCACATGTGGTGTGTATGACAAAGAAACTTGAATCCTTGAATTTAACCAGCCATTAGTACTGACTATTAAAACGTCATTAAACTTTGAAAGAAGATACTGAGTAGAGTTTACAGCCCATTCTGTCCCTCTCTGCTGTGCTTCAGCCCTGCCTGTATAAAGCCCCGCCTCCTGCAGAGGCCATACAGGCGTGTAACCATGACAACTGTAATGGCAGCAGTGACAAAAACTGATCAGTGACTCCGCCTGGTCTTTAATTAGTTTCACTCTGGGTGTTTATGTGGTGTGAAAACAACCGGTTCAAATAATTTTTAATAGAATTTTAGAGCGTCTTGTTTTCCATCAGATGTACAGTAATCCCTCAATTATTGTGGGGGTTACGTTCCACACACCACCGTGATAGGTGAAAAACCGCGAAGAAGGAATGCTATATTTATTTTAGTATTTATACATATTTTAAGGCTTTTATAAACCCCACACTCTTGCAATATTCTAAACTCTTAAACCTATCATTTTAACAATATATGTATATGTACTGGACAGTACTGCAAAATTTTACTCACCAGTCTGCAGACCAGCAGCTCGGTTCCGGTTCTGCAGACCTACCCTACCGCCCCGTCCAGGTTGATGTGTGGATAATTGAGCTTCAGGATTATTTGCCACTTTCTTGCCAGTCATGTGATCTTAATAGATACTGTAGCGTTAATTTGTGTTGCAAAACTTTCCCTCCATTTCAGCAGAAAGCAGCGGCTGGAAGCACTGTTAGCTTCTGGGTAGTGTAGTTCTTTTGACAGGCGTTACAGTATGGGCTTATTGAAAGAAAACTACAAAATGACGGCGCCTATCCGAAGTATTTTTTTTTCCCATTAACTTTTTATCTTGTACCTTCCCACTCATGACTAATATTAAAGTTGACAATCGTCGAAAAACCGCAAAAGAGCGAGTCCGCGAAAGTCGAACTGGGAAGTAGCGAGGGGCTACTGTATAGTTTGCCTGATTTTACTCCCGTTCTGTTTTGAAACTGGAGTTTTTTAAAAGGTGTTTCACTAATTCTTACTTTTGCACATTTTATTTATTTATTTATTTTTGCTGGTGTCCTGTTTTATGACAGTGCTCATGATTGGATCAGTGTTCATATCTCTTTGAAACGAGTCTTTAGTCCTCCAGTGCCACCTCAGCGCCCTGGTTTTAACATGAGGACATCATCTGTGGGATTCCTGGTTTCCCTCTGTCTGTTTGTGTCTGTTTGTGTC